GTTCCTCGCAGGGGGAAAATGGGGGGGGGGCCCCCCCGGTTTTTATTAAATTTTGTCATCGATTTTTGACAGGTGCGCAAAGTTTGAATTAAATCTGTCCGTTAAAAGTGGGTCAAAATCGAGTCCGAAGGTGTCGGTTACACACATACATACAGGTGAAGCTAATATAAAGCGTGTAAAAAATCTATAAAAAATATTAAATACGTAATACCTAATTCAGCTGTGCTGTGTAATGGTGTGAAAGTGAGGGTGTGTATGTGGTGTGTGCTCATGATGCAGGTGATTTAACGCTATGGATATTCTTAATACTCTTTTTAAGCATCTGTTGCAAGGATCAAGATAAATACAGGTACACTGAGACCGTAAATGATGTGTGAAAAGTTTTAAGAAATAATAATTTTGTTTTGTTTGTTCCTTTTTTTCTCTTAATAACTATATTTAATATGTATTTTTGCACTTCTTGCCTTCCTCATCTAATTTAATACATTTTTTTTCTTTTCTCATAGTGGTTGCCTGGAAGAGATCGCTTGAAAACGATAAGGCCGCCAATTCCCCTCCTTTATATTTAATTATGTTAAATTTTTATATTGTAATGCAACGAAGTTTAAAAAAAATATATATGATAAAAAAATATATAATGTAATATATAATATATATGACCAAACACACACGTTAAACCTAGGTTGAAAACAATGCCTAAGAAATCCTAAAAAAACATCCGTAATGTAAAAGTACATATTTTGATTTTGACTTTGACCATAGCTTTTTTACTTAAGAACATTTGTCTAATCAAAGTCAACTACTCGCATTCCCTCGTAGACCTACGCATAGAAATCGCATTCTGTAATAATCTGAATTTATGAGGACACTATAAAACTCATAAACAAGTTGTGCGGTGGCTCTATAAATCTATACTTTGTATCCCAGCTCAGATTATGAACAGCAGTCCCGATCAGTTCCTTATCGCTAATCGGTTTTACACTGAAATTAGCTGCGACTAATATCTATCATACACTTTATGATTGCCCGTCCATTGCCAGGGAAAACTCTACATTTACTTCCTATATAGCCTGAAGAATTTTGACTTGACTTGAAAATGAAATTAGGGATTTGTAAAACACTCACACTCAATAATTTTAGAAACTAGATTTAGTCAATATTATAATAATTACATAATTCACATTTTTTTTTGTTTAAACTTCAATAACAAATTCGTATGACAATACTATGAAACAAGATAACAAAATTAACAAAAAAAAATACTTTAAAAAAAAAATATGTTTATTAGGAACTAAAAATTTTTATTCAGTCATTAAATTTGAAGCAATTTTTACACAATAAAATAATACTTTAAAAAAAAAAAAAAAAAAAAAAAAAAAAAAAAAAAAAAAAAAAAAAAAAAAAAAAAAAAAAAAAAAAAAAAAAAAAAAAAAACACCCCCGCGGGGGGGGGGGGGAAGAAAAAAAAAAAAAAAAACCAAAACAAAAAAAAAAAAAAAAAAAAAAGGAAGGGGGGGAAAAAAAAAAAAAAAAAAAAGGGGGGGGGGGGGGGGGGGGGGGGGGGGGGGGTTTTTGGGGGGGGGGGGGGGGACAAAGCCCCCCCCCCCCCCCCGGGGGGGGGGGGGGGGGGGGGGGGGGGGGGGGGGGGGGGGGGGGGGGGAAAGGGGGGGGGGCAACGAAAAACAACCCCCCCCCGGGGAAGGGGGGGGGGACCCAACCCCCCCCCGTTTTTTTGAAAAAAAAAAAAAGATTTTTTTTTTTTTGGGAGGGGGGGGGGGGGTTAAAAAAAAAAAAAGGGGGAAAAAGGAGGAGGGGGGTTTTTCCACCGCAAAAAAATTTTTTTTTTGGGGGTGGTTTAAAAAAAAAGGGGGGAACAAAAAAAAAAAAAAAAAATTGGGGTTTTTTTTTCAAGGAGGGGGGGGGGGAGAAAAAAAAAAAAAGGGGGGGGGGGGGGGGGGGGGGGGGGGGGGTTCCCCTTTTTCCGGGCGGGGGGGGGGGGGGCCTTTCCCCCCCCCCTCCCCCCCACGAGGTTGGGGGGGGGGAGGGGGGGGGGGGGGGGGGGGGGGGGGGTTTTTTGAGGGGGGGGGGGGGGGGAAAAAAAAAGTATAATTTATGTTATCACATGAGTTGGTACTCACTGCGTACATACATGGTACCTTAAGCCGAATACATTTTTACGAGGGCTTTCTCGTATTATAAACTGAGACATGTTTTTCTACTCCCAGAGGTTTTATTATCTAGGCATAATCAGAGAGAAATAAAAAACGAATAACGTAAAAATCAGCTAAAACTAATTTCGCTCGGTTTCTCCAAGATCAAGAACCAATCAAGGTGAATGGCCTTTTATATCAACAATAAATATGTCAAACCAATAAAGTTTGATGAGTTGGACACCAAATCAGTATTAATCATTTATTGACCACGGAAACGAATCGTTTTGATTCAAGTTTCAATTAATTAATTGTGAATTAGACGGGATGTCAGTACGTTGACCCCTGTTGCCATGTGCATGAAACTACAGTCTGAGCGTAACTGTTCAAAACTGAGATCAATGCCATCCGGGGTGAAAGGAAATTTGCAATTTTGGTTATCTTACCAGAAACGAAGAATAGACACGCATATGTAGACTGCATTAAGCTATTAATCTGATTCTCATAAAGATTATTACTATAAGGATTTTCAGCCTTTATAGTAATCACAAGTACCATTGTGTAGGAGACATCTTTAATTCACATTGCAGACAGACGAATGGGCTTGTTATGTATCCTTAACCTTCATTAGTCATTGATCTGACTTAATCATTTCATGAAATAGTTGGCAGTTTCATGAAAATGATAATTTCATGATACGATAAATTTTACGGTCTGGCTCCGTATAAACCACTATTTTTATTTCAAAAAAAACGACTGCAAATGATTACGATAGGATTTATAGATAGTTGTTATGGGATTGCTTTTTTTACATCAATAAGATTTATTATTCCTTTAAGGCAAGGTGAAGTTTACCAACCCGAAACAATTTGGCAGGATTCAATTTAAAAAGAAAAGTAGTACCTACTTATCTATACATAGTAGAAAATATGTGCATATACATATACGTTATTAGGTAATAAGGGCGAATAGATGGTTTTAAAGAGTTCACGTGTCCTAGTGTGCGATTTAGCCGGGGCAGAGGGGTTTTAGTTTGGGTATAGGCATACACTTCTCGAAGCCTCAGCCCCACACTCCCGCTATAGCAGAACCCGCGCAGAAGTCCATAAAGAATTTCCCCCTCTTAGGCTGCTCTGCATCAAGGCGCAACTACTATGGACCCTAACATTTTTGTGTACCTAATAAAGTTGATATTTATGGTAACTCCATTGTCGGTTAATATATTATGTACTGAAGTAATGCATGCTTGATTTTAGAAAAGCATCGTCATCCGTTGGTAATATAAGTTGAAATGATTATTATACATATAAACAATTCTTCGTCGAAAATGTGATGTGAGGACTTTCTCGATTAAACTACGCAAAAGTACGTCCTGCGACGTCGATTAAGATATCATGATAGCTAATATCACTACTTACGCATACTATATACATAGATATAGTACATAGATCGCTCTTAGATATAAATAACCAGGCGCACAACAGACACAGGTGGTTCACGCTATGTGAACCCACCAGCGCGATCTGACCGCGAAATTATTTTCAAGACTACAGCAACCTTAGACACTCACACCACTGCAACATCCCTATCTACATTCTCGTCTCACAACACTCTTGTCTTTGTAGAAGTACTCGTGAGAAACTTGGCGTTGAATTCTAGAACGACAGAAACTCACGTGCCGAGCAATGGAATAACGACTCTATAGCCTGTCTATGGCGCTTATAATTCTATATAGTATAAGAGTCTCTTCATACAAACACCGCGAAAAGGGTATATGGTAAAGTCGCTATCTCTTGGTTATATCCGCGAACGGAGGTACATTCAACTTTTAGCCCAGTAAACTCTCAAGGTTCGTTCACCCAGTGCTTGTCAACTGACGTGCTGAGAGAGACGGAGATTCAAACAGATAACCGCCTCTCGTTCTCGCGCAATGTTCGAGATTAGTTTTTATTGAATGTTTGGAAGCCAAAATAGTTACCTATGTTGACTTATAGACGCCTGGTAGTTTTGACGGTTCACGTTTGTTATACCGTCGGTTTTTAGTCGATAAGATTTTTCTATCGTCGCCTTACACAATCAATTTTTAAGTATCCATCCATAAAGGCTGCGCGTCCCTTTAAAAGTTGTATACAATAATCATGAATTCTTAATTAGACATCAAACACACATCATTGATGCTCAGAGTTTTATCATTAAATTTAAAAAAAATCGAGGATATTTTTACAAGAATAGCCCCCAAATTTTTCACACGTGTTTTAGAATCGATGCAAATACGAAATTCAAGATAGGTATAGTAAGATTGATAAAGATAATAAAGATTTACCTTTAAATTTGATGAGCAAATGTAAAAAAACACTTTTAAATAATTTACCTCCAGCGGAATTCAATTACGATTGATGATGATTGAAAAATATTTTTTTAAAACGTAATTTTATTGCTTGTTTCTATACAATATGATAATTTAAAAAAACATACATCATCCGACCAAGTAAAATCTAAAATTATTTACTTATATAAGCGCCATCTGCAAGATACATTGTGCACTGTTATTTGACGTAAGAACAGTTAACCATGGCACTGGCAGAGATGAAGGTATTTTAACGCTTACAGAAATAATTTTAGTAGATCTTCGTAAACTAAATAATAAATGTCAAGTGTCGTAAGACAAAGAAATATCATAACTATCAAGACGACATTTTGACATGAGCCCCATTATGTGCGAATATAATGGTATCTATTGGCAATGTTTCATGATTTGGAGGTTGTCTGTCAATTTTGACAGATTATAAACTCAGTCATTGTTTGGGTTTATGCGGGTAAGCGGCTTACAATAGTGCCGATTGTTTTTAAAATGTCTAGTAAGAAGAGTTTTAGTGGAAAAATTATTATACTCTCTCTATTCGTAGCTCCAATACTAGCAGAATGGAATACACAAGATTATATAAGGAGAGAGCATTCTCTTACAAAACCCTATCAAGGTGAGTGACCTGAGGTTACGAATTGGTGCAATTTGATGTGAAATAAATCTAATTATTCTATTATAGGAAGCGGTATGGCGTTGCCGTACTGGGACTTTTTAGGTAGCACAATTGTTACGTCTAATTATGTACGGCTTACTCCCGATTTGCAATCAAAATCAGGAGCTATATGGAATACACATGTGGGTATTAAAAACAATAAAATATAGATACTAATATATATTGATACAACCAGTAGTAATCTCAATATATGTATTTGCATTGTTATACTGTTATTTTTTGTTGGATAATGGGCCTGTTATATATTAAACATTTTGTATTAAAAACATTACATTGTAATCAAGTATGCTGTATGAATAGTACATGTTCTTTATTCAATGATCAACTTACAAAATCAATTATTTGGCATTGACCAACCTTGAAGCCAAAATATAACATTGACTTTCATTGTCATTTAATTTCTAGATAATTCAATGTGATGTAGTGACCTTGATTGAATATTGTAAATAAAAACCTGTTCACTCTCGTAATTATACTATTATTGGAATAAGACCTAAGTCGTAAAATCAAGGTTAAAATACGCCTTCTTTAACATTGAAACTTAAAAGTAATAGGGAATAGGAGTTTTATAAATAAAATTTTCAATTTCAGCCATGTCAGACAAGAAATTGGGACTTGCAAGTACAATTCAAAGTACATGGCAAAGGCAAAGATCTATTTGGAGATGGTTTTGTAATCTGGTATGTCAAGGACCGAATGCAAAATGGGCCTGTGTTTGGTAGCAAGGACTACTTTAGTGGTCTGGGTATTGTCTTGGATACCTACAGCAATCACAATGGTGCACACAATGTATGTTTTATGATAACTATGAACTAGATATTTGTTATATGTATATAACTTTAACATCTCAGTATTGCATGGGGCACACACTTTTCTGAGTATTTACACATCTCAGAGTCTGTTTCACCAAGGAATGTTATTTATATACATTTAGTTATGATAAAAAATAAGTGATACCTGTATCTAATATTCCATAATAAACAAATTTTTTATTTTAAAATATTTTTATGTTAGATACTGTCCTTCACAATTAAATTTTATTACAGCACCAGCACCCATACATCTCTGCAATGGTGAATAACGGGTCCTTACACTATGACCATGACAGAGATGGAACTCATACCCAAGTGGCAGGCTGTGAAGCTAAGTTCCGTAACTACAACCATGATACATACATTTCTATTGTATACAAAGATGACACACTCGTAGGTGAGACAAATACCTTATTAAAAAAATCTCTTAAGTCCCTGTTTTAGGGTAAAATTTACTCGGTCATTAAGTGGGTAACCCTTATGTTTTTTTTTATATATAATTTTTTCAACATATGATTAATTATCTAGCTGTGACAGTATTTATTAATGATCTTATCTATACCAAAATTGCATTTTATTCATAAACATTCATTCATTTAACCTGATATTATAAATCTTAAATATTTTCTGGCTCTGTAGAGACATTGACTTGATTAAAAAAAAATCTAGAACAGGAAACTACCTAGCAAGTTATCTATGTTAAAAATTACATATTTTTTCTGCTTTTCTGTAAGAAGTAGTGGTTTTTGTTAAGTGATCATTATAATAAAAAGAAAACAATGTAGCAACATATATAAATCAGAAACCACATGTTATTGAATTATCACAATCATTGATGTTTAAACAATATTGACATTTTGGGCAAATAAGCACATCATGAAGCGATAAATTATTCAGTCAGTTAATTTATTTGAATGGATTTTGTTCTGACGTAATCTCACTATAGACAATATTTGCAAATACTTTACAGTCTCAACAGACCTAGAGGGCAAAAATGCTTGGAAAGAATGCTTCCGTGTAGAAAACATCTTGTTACCCACGGGGTACTACTTTGGTGCATCCGCCACCACCGGAGACCTGAGCGACAACCATGACATCATTGCCGTCAAGATGTATGAGCTTGACCTACTGGAGTCTGTAAGTATTTTTTCTAAATTCTTTCAGCAAAATAATGTAGAACCTTTTTACATACATTGAACTAAATTTCTCCTTTTGTTTGCTTAAATGTACCCTCAATATTATTCTTATTGGTAACATATATTTAACAATAGTATGGGCTACAACAAAAAAGAACATAACAAGCATTATTTCAATACCTATTACTGACCATGAATACAATGACCATAACTAATTCATATGATTTTTTATTTGTATTAAAATGTTTATGGTTACGTGATATCTATAATTGATGCACAGCAAATTTATATATATTTTTTTTAATAATAATATATTTTTGGAATATTTAAAATACCTATATCTAGAACTTAATGGTGATTCAATAACTAAAGAATGTTTTGGTAAAAACATTAGGTTATAATGAAAAGTGCTACAATTCAAGGTTCTCTGAATAATTTCTAGAATTTTTTTGCATAGGTTACGGATGGAGGAAATATAATTATTTTAATATTGAAATTAGTATTACCCTTACTATTAAAACGTGTATTAATAGTGATGCGTAAAGTATATTATGTAGAACACCAACGTTTGCAATATTATGCTATAATGGAATTAGCCAGATTACAATATAGATTATTTATTTCATTAGGTATATGTTCCATGTTCATATTATGTTTGTTCTAAGAGAAAGTAACTTGTCTTAAGGAATAGAATCGTAGCCTAGCCGTGAAGCAAAAATTAAAATTCTAAATTTGCATTTAAAATATTTACCTAATTCAATCAATACCATATGGAACCCACCGAAGTATTTCCGAACAAATTCGACCTTCAAAAAATAGCGTACCAATTCTCAACACATTTGCGGGCCTTTCGGCAATGTAAGTGTCCACTGTCCATGGGCGGCGGTATCACTTAACATCAGATGAGCCTCCTGTAACATACCATATATATTTATTTATATACGGTATTTGTACAACATTCTATAATCTTACTTTAATAATTAAAGCAACTCGCGTTATATTGATTGCTTCATAAAGTTTATTAAATTTACGCTTAATTTTATTATTCTACGTTAAATATTAATATGCTTACATCATAAGGAATAAAAAAAAAGATTTAGTCTAGCTATTCCAAGGGGGAACGCTGCCAGTATCTTCGGAACCTTGCCTAAAGGAACTCCCTTTTAATAATATATTTTAGTAATTATATGTTAAGGTTAGTTATTTATCTCAATGTATATGTGAATTATAACTTTTATAAGGAATATATAAATTAAATTTATATCAATATAATCGTAACTATAACTATATGTATATTTTTTTAATACGCAATGTGAAATATACTAAAATGATATGTACATATATAAAACTGATCTTTATTTATTTCAGCAAAACCAAAACGATGATCGATCGCAAATAATCCCATCAGCCGCGACCTCCGATGCGCCGCGGGAGCGCCTTGAAGATGAAAAACCAGCCATGTCAGGTGTCAAAACATTCCTTTGGATGATGTTTGTGGCCATCATTATCATAGTGCTGGTTGTCTGTGGAATTATGTGGTATCAAAAGAGGCAGGAAAACGCTCGAAAACGACTTTACTGATACAGTAACAAATCGCCACTTTCGTTGAGGAAGAGACAATACAATTTTAATTTTCAAAATTCTTGCTGTCCTAATACTATTTACTTGGTTCAACGTAGACTCAACGAACATAATCATGCACTTTTTATAAATAATCTGTCTTCAAATATTTAGCTTTTTGTATAACCTGCCGATTGAGTTTGTGGTCTTATATTTAATCGACCATATACATATTATGGTGGTCTTTAGACTGGAACCGGGGTAACAGATAAATTCGGTAAAAAATTAATTCAGTGGCGAAAGGGTTTAGATTTGGGTTATAAGAAATTGATAATAAGGTTGGAAGGGTCTTTGGTCGAATTTTTCTTAAGGTCACAATATTTCCCACCATTTCTAACGAAAAAATCTATTAAGTGCTATTGTTGAATCATGTGGTACACGTTTATATACGTAGCAAGCATTACTCTTCCATACTTATTAATCCACTACGCGGTAACTGTTCTGTAAGATCGACAGTGATATTGAATTATGACGTCTCGATAATACTTTTATATTAGTACTAGTGCTGATGTTCAACTGTTTAGACTTAAAGAAATTAAGAATGTTGTAATACATTTCTCAACCATGCCACTTTGGTGGGAGAAATGGCAGGCTTATTCGCTTGCCTATTGAATTAGAAAAAAAAATTCACAAGATTGTGGAATTTTCTGGTAAAGTCTAACCTGTAAACTGGCCAGAAGCCGAAGTATAAAAAAAATTAATAAAATGAAAGAATAGTACGGTACATCAGAACTAGCATTGATAAACAAAATAAACTCGATTTACGAATTAAGAGTTATATTAAGAGGTTGGGAAGTAATTAGACTTTAAATAAGGTATTTAAAAAATATATATATTATTTATTCAAGTCAATGATGTAGTAATTTATATTATAGTGTATCATACATACAGCTTTATATAATTTAACACTGTTTTTGCTTTATAATTTTTTTTATTCAGATCCAAACATAATCTATGTATAAGTCTCAATATTTAAGAATGTCACATTTATTTTTTAAATCACACAAGTTTAAAAGAAAACATTCACTGTATTTTTTGTTTGTATTTAAAGCCAAATTAAGTGTTAGTTATATGTTTAGTTGTAATAGGGAACAATTTAGATGTTTAATTAAAGAAAAGAATGAATTAGGGTATGTTAAGCCTTCTAAAGCATATATCTGGTAATAAGTACAAATTCATATCTTATAATCTTATACCGGCTTCAAACCGCTTGTCAAGTGTTTTTTATTTTAGTTCACGGCTTAACATATTATGCTAATATATAGATTTGTAATACAATTTCAATAATTACTATGCAATAATATTAATTCTAAGTTAAATATCATATCTAATCTTCTGAAAATAGAGTTATGCTACAAGCATAACTCATTGCGATCAACTGTCACCAACCTATAGAACTCAAACTTATGCTTGTGACAATGTTATATTTAGTAATTTAGGAACTTTAACAAACCATGGTTATTTGCTTTAGTGATAATGATTATAGTCATCACAATATTTCCTAAATATTGTAACAATTTTAAAGAATTCCACGCATAAATTTCTACTATTACTTTCAAAAAACTATTGTAGCTCTTTATCGATCATCATTTCATTTAACAAGTAAATTATAAGTTATATATATGGAGCAACTGACAAAACAGCCTAACTAATTTTCATTGGCCATGTAAATTCATAAAATCATTGATAACAAGTTTTGTACGAAATATTCATTTTGACTTTTAAGAGCATATATTGATGTCGATTTTGACGAAATTCATTATTCCTAAATGGCTCAACCGTGACATTTATCATACTGTTTTATTGTGTAAAACTTGTTTAACAATCCGACTTTGAATTACGGTTTAATAATAGACTAAAGAGTTTATGTGAATACCATTGCATAGATATCAATTTATGCGTTCCTTCATTGTAATTTATTTTATTATTGTAACCCTAAACCAGAAAAGTGAAATATAAAGTTTTTATTTGTTGCAAAATAACATGCAACCTTAAAATTGTATATAAACAAACTCAATGTAATTCTTCTGAATAAGTAGTTATTAAAATGTTCTATACCTATCTGTAATTGTGCGTTATATGTTTGAGTATTACAATAAAGAGTTTTTTAATATTTTATAAAATTCTAATTTTGATATTTTTATTATCACCAGAGCCACGATTCTGAAGTTAATGTTAAATTTAAACGAAACAGTCAATATTAATCTTACATCTGGGCCCATGATTTGTAAAAAAGAAGTATTTTTTTAATCACACTAAAACATTATTTTTTTATTTTCACTTGATCATATTTCTAAATCTCAGTCTTTTCGTTGCCTACATCAGATAGAGATACAGACAGATAGAACAATAATTCCACGTAAAAGGTTAACATTTAAAAAGAATGACAATCGAATAAACGATGTTCGTATTTTTACCGAACCAGGGAAACGGTGCGATAACGATCCTCCGCGCCTCCGATTATTTATATACACTCTAGGGCAGTCATGGGCAAAGTACGGCCCGCGGGCAAAGTGCGGCCCTCGGGCTAGTCTGATCCGGCCCGCGACACGATTTTGATTAACCCCTAAATTAATTGCACATAGGAAGTGATAATTTTTTTGTGCAGCTATAATGTTAACGGGAGCCTTAGGTATGGTATTATCGCATCTAACACTAACTGAGTTTGCATCGCTTTTTCTTTCCGTAGAAAATGTATGTATATCGGTAGTATGGCGATTTAGTGCGAGCGTGTGGCCTGTCCTGTGGATCTTCGGTGTTGCTCGGTCAAGTCGGCATGAATCGGGGTAGCAATATTGTTTTGTAAAGATTAATATTTTGTATTGTTTGGAAGTTTTTACCATTTTAGTATATAAGTTGTGTATGATGTAAATTAAACAATAAAAGGTTTAGGCCTATAACTTGTATTTTTTTTTTTGGCCCGCCTGTAAATTTTTAAATTTCATCTGGCCCTCCTTTTAAAAAGTTTGCCCATCACTGCTCTAGGGGTAAGGCAGACAAGACCACGTGGATAGTGGGGTGCTCTGATTCGGTTTTGGGTACTTTTTAAATAATTTAAAAAATTACGGAACAATACACTAATATAAACATGAAGTTAATGTAATGTATGTACATTTGACAAGTAATGGTTAAATTAGGTTCAACTTTAAAATTAACAAATGAGGAAATAATCGATTCGATTAGGTTCAACTTTAAAAATAACAAATGAGAAAATAATCGATCCGATTAATTTACCGAAGATTCACATCACTTATAACCAATAGAAAAGTAGATAATGGTGGATTGTTTACAAATTTCAATACATTTCACAAAACTTTAAATTATTTTTTAAATACTTTGACGCATTTCCGGCAGCTAAAATCACTTGGAGGTGTTCCAATGAAGGTCCCCCAAGACTACTGCATAATCAGTATCATCAGATTCGGGTGCATCGTTATCGCACACAACCCTTTTTTACACGTGGTTGGTATGAATATGTTATTCATCTGTGTAGTGTGTAGACCTGTAGGTCTACCTGCTTTACGAAAATACTACCTGTTTTAAATATTTCAATCTTAATATTTGAATATCATGTTTTTCGGTTAGCACCTTCCTGTTATTCTCAGTTTTCCTCCATTTATAAACAAATTTAAGTAATTATCTTCTTAGGGTTGTCCATTGAATTGTATACGGTCTTTCAAAACAACTTTAAGTCGTGATAAAGTTGAAAATTGACGATGTTCTATGTGATAGTTTTGAATAGTTCTTCTGACTACACCAATATCAAATTCGTTTAAATTAATTTTTCGTGGTCTTAACCTTATCTTCTTCATAGATGCAACTTCGAATGCGACGTACTCGCTTCATTTACAAACTCAATATCCGCTTCCAAGTTCCATAGTCGGCTCTGTTTTACGCTGCGTACTTGGGACTATAGGAAGTAACTATCGCAGAACACAATTACCTAAAGGAAGAACGACGACTAGGAACACAGATTTTAAGATACGCGAATGTATCGCCACCTATTATCAACCCACCCAAAACTACATGTGGCGGCAAAAATTTGAATTGCCAGCAAGTCCAGGTTCCCCAGAAATTTATTAATTTCGGATGCATAGGCCATTTAATTTGTAAGGAAACTCAAATGAATGAGATAACTCATTCATAACTCATTCATTTGAGTTTTCTTACAAATGAAATGGCCTATGCATCCAAAAGAACACTAGATATTTAACAAATGATCTTGAAATAAAACAAAAACGTTTTCTCATTGAATTATTATTTATTTCACTTTTATGGATCCTTATTATTATTTGGACACGAAATCAACATAATTTTGTAATGTTCGTAGTTGTGGTCGAATTACCTAGGTAATTCAAATGAAAAGTTTCTTCTCTACAATGAAGGGCCTGGCTGCAAATTCTCGGGCAATGTAAGCGCAGGAATGAATACAGGTCTAATCTGTAATTACAAGAATAAATCAAGTCACAGTCCTCATTTACTATCGTAATGTTTTTAGTTTTATATAGGTAGGCCTACATAGTTCAAACTATTACTCACTATGTTTAAATTATAACAAATTTTGGTTAAATTAAATACAATGGTGAGTAAAGTTCACAAGTTACCTCATGCGGAACTGCAGTTCTTAGCAATGATTTTTTAGTGCCATCTGTAAAATCACCTTCGTGGAAGTGATTTTGGCACAGCATCCTGTGCTCAACATACAGCTTTTTTTGAAAAGCTATTGAAGTGTGCTGTTCATCCGAGGGAAAAAGGTATTTTGCCCACAGGGTGCAGCTGAAAATAAACGGGCATAATTGTAGTAGATATCAAAGGTAAGGAGTAAGAAGCACGTAATTATTCTTGTCAAATTCAAGGCGTAGGTTCCATCGACTAGAACTTGAACTACATTGTATTTTAACCACGACAATTTGACAGTTGTAACAAAGACCAAACGTTGTTGACTGCTTTCTTGGGGAATGCAAAAAAAGTTCCAACGTTGACGTATAGGTTGAAATATTGTCAATCGATTTGATGTGATGTTAACTAAGAAGTTAATTAGTTTAGTACGTACCGCAAAAGATTCCGAACTCCGGGATTTGGAAAACGAAACAAAGAAACGTTTTCCTTTGCCGTGGATTTGCCACACTTCGAACACCTGCGACTGTCTTCTTTTCGGTTTTCTTTAGCGGCCGACATTTTCAGATTTCAAGAGTCACTATCTCGTATTCACAGTGAAGCACTCGAGACACTATCTCAAAACGGGCACAAAACATAAACGGAGGAATAAAAACTCAACTCGACGTTCGTAGTTTGGGAAAATGACGAAATAGTATGGAAAAACAAAATTTCGGGCCACAACAACACCGACAACACCAACCTTGTTGTAAATCGCCATGTTGGTTTTCTAGGTTCTAGGACAATGTTGCTATTAGAAAATTTATTTAAGCATGAATGTTTATATCTTGACAGTGGCAATAACTGCCCAAATAGGTATTTTATTTCTCCCATACAAAGTTGATCCCCCCTGGTAACTATCGCATCCGTCTCCGTCAGCGCTTCCAGATTCACTGTAATTACAGTAGATTTACTGTATTTTAGACTTTTCTACTGTATACTGTAATGATAAAATACAGTGTATGAAAATACTGTATTTAATTTCCGTTCATATAAATTATCAAATTTAATACGTTTTACGTATTAGAAAATACGAAATATAAATTTGCAACCTAATCTAGAACCCAGAACCACTGACCTTCATCTATAGACAATGTAGAGTAGGATTGTTACCTACATATTATAGTTTACGTGCGGGGAATTCCCCAATGAATCAGAACTAACGCTTAGCAAAAACTAACCGTCTCTGTCTGACATAGCAAAATTGTATTTTCCATCTCATTCATTACGTTTTGATTGGTATGGTTTTATTGCTTTGCTACTGTAGCGAGCGCCGAGCAAATACATTTATTTCAGATTAAGACTTTTTAATTCTTGTGGATAGCGTAAATTAAACCAAAACTATATAATTGTAAAAATGGGCTCAAGTAGTGAAGAAGGTGATGTTCGTGGCGCTGCTGGTCCGTCAAGTGCAAAAAAGAAATATCGGCAACAATTTCGAGAGGAATGGCTTGAAATCCAAGACTTTCATAAGTGGCTAAAACCTGACAAAAAATCTGCTTATAAATGTTTTTGCACTGTCTGCGATTCTTCATTAACTGCCGATCTAGGTGCTATTAAAAGACACGGCGAAGGTGCTAAACATAAACTTCGTTTTCCTGGGCAATCGTATGTGCGTACCATTGATAATATTTTTAAGAGTCAGCAACGTGTAAGTGATGATGAGCGACGAAAAATTGCGGAAATTAAATTATCGGCCTTTATGGCAGAACATAAAATATCCCACATAGTGATGGACCATCTTGTTGATTTACTTCAAAAATTTTCCCAGATTCTAAAATTGCAAGTAACATTAATCTTAAGCATACTAAATTACAAGCAGTAGTAAACAACGTCATCGGAGCTTCTGAAAGAGAATGTTTAGTAGCAGATTTGAAACGCGAAAAGTTTTCTATAATGGTAGATGAAAGTACCGATGTTGCCAGTGTGAAAACAATGTGTATTGTAGTCAAATATTATGATCTTAGTTTAGGGCGAATAGTAAGTCGATTCTGGGATCTTATTCAAATGTTTAATGATACTAATGCTGGACGGATTGGTGATTACTCAGCTACGGCTGAAAAATTATTTAATTCAATAATAAAATCATTTCAAGACGGAAATGTACCTTTAGAAAATATGATCGGATTTGGATCAGATGGCTGTAATACTATGATGGGCTGTCGTAATTCAGTGTCCTCACGGTTTAGACAATTGTGCCCAGGTATTATCGTGCTAAAATGTCTATGCCATTCCTTACATTTATGTGCCTCAGACGCTTGTAAAGAATTGCCTCATGATGCAGAAAAACTGACTCGATTGATTTACAATTATTTCAAAAATAGTAACAAACGTCAAGCAGAGCTAAAAGAATTTCAAGTATTTACGGACACTAATATTCACAAAATTCTACGTCCAGCTCAAACGCGTTGGTTGTGGCTGTCCAGTGTTGTGAACAGAATCATGGAGCAATGGGATGCCTTGCGATTATATTATGACGATAAATGGCTAGAAGAACAGGATTGCCAAGACATTCACAATCTTTTGAATGATCCCATCATCAAGGCATATTTTTATTTTTTATGTTGGATGCTGCCAAAATTTACCCGCGTTAACGTATTCTTTCAAAGTGAAGATCCCGTTATTATTGAAGCCCATAACAAAATGACTGAGCTATACAGAGAACTGTTATCGTTATTCATAACTCCAAATTATATTAAAAACACCCCACTCGACGCAATTGACCCTACTAATAGTCAACATTACATAAATCTGGAAGATATATACCTAGGATTGGGTGTTGCTAATCAAGTTGCTGTCCTAGAGCTACATGCGCATACCGAAGAAGTTACAGTGATGAAACAGAAATGCCTCAACTTTATCGTTAAAGCATGCGTGGGCATTCGGAAAAGATACAGTTTAAATGACTTTAACTTTAAATGATCAACAGACGTTAGATGACGAATGGAGAAACTTGATTTTTATTGCGAATGATATACATTGGAATACAAGTCAACCAGCAGACTTATTTTGGCATCAGGTAAAATTTAATTATATAAGAACTCTATTTACATAAATTTGCACATATTTATGTTCACATTTCATAAATTTGTTTTTTATTTCAGTTATCTCAAATGAAAGACAGCAATGGAGACATTAAATTCCATTTGCTGCCTCGATTTATGCTGCAAGTATTATCTTTGCCTCACTCAAACGCTGAGTGCGAACGCAAGTTTAGTGAAATTAATAATATAAAAACCAAGCAGAGGAACTGTCTGATCACAAATACTATTAAAGGAAATATGTTAGCTCAGCAAGCCATTCGTCGAAATTCTGAAAACTGCGTCAAATTTAATCCCACTAATGAAATGATTTTAAAGATGAATGCAAAAATTTATCAAAATCATGAGGAAATTATTTTAGAATAACTTACTTATATGTACAAATAAATTAATACTGCATCTTATTTTTCTTTTAATATTTAAACAAACTTTTACTGTAATTTTACTGTAATCGAATTTGGAATCTGCTGTATTGTTTTAAGAAACTACTATATTTTTTAGCTGACAACACTGTAATTTTACTTTTGGGATCTGGAAGCACTGGTCTCCGTAGTTATATTTGATTCCATAGTTCCATACTGGTGGGCCGTGGGGCGCGTCTTCGTGAATTGCACTATCTATATCTATAATTCTATACTAATCTTCTGACTAGCTATGACAAATTAGTCAGTAGGTAACTTCCATGTCACATTGACAAGTGTTGTGCTTCTGACAATTGCCATTTGACAAATGCATTCGCTATCGGCACCATGAACCGTGTATGGATAACGGAACTTTAAAAAAATGTTTTTATATTTTTACTCACAATTCACAAAATATTGATTCAAACAACCTGTTAATAAAATCCCAGACTTTATCCCAGATTTAAGTTGATTATAAAATAATACTATACAATGTCAGACGAAGATAATGAGGATTTACCTTCAATATTATTTAATGACAATAGTAAAAAGTCGGTGGGTAATATTTATCTTTTAATAAGGTAAATAGTATTTGATATAATGAAAGTTATAACAACTACTACTTTCATTATTAAATTAAGAACTGCCTGATATTTAATGATTCACAGTATAAAAATTAAATAAAAATGCAGTTTATAAATAAAATAGTATGTTATGGAGAAGTTATTCACAAAATAAATTATTAAAATAATCGTTTATTTCATAACAGCAACAGTAGCTTACCAATGGAAGCTAATTCCAATACAATTTGTAAATGACAATAGAATTTGTAGAGCAAATATTCAATACTAGCGGTTCCACCCACTTTAATTCAGTCCTAGCATCATGTTTTATAGCCTAAGAAAGCCTTACTTCGTAAATGCACTTTATTGGTATTTCTTTTACAACTTGGGTTAGCAAAGCTTTTTTTTAAATATTCTATAGCCTATAATCATCAGGGATAATGTTGAAAGAATTTTATAATTGGTCCAGTCGTCTTAGAGCCTTTTCAGTGCAAACAATCAAATATTTTCTCTTTATATATATATTTAACAGAACTGCAGCTGGATTAGTTAAAAAGTTTACCAAATCTTTGCTTCAGATTTATATTTGGACTTAGTAAATTTGATCATAATATATTGGATTTCTAACATAAGAGCCTAGTTATAAAATGCCCAAATGCATATTTTACAACTTTAAAATCTTTGATCATAAAACCCCCAGTTTTCTTCAACCTTATTATTAGCTACTTATTTTTATTAATTGTTATTTATGAACCCTAAGATAAGCCTTGTTTTTTAGATTAGTAATTGTATAATTCTACATTGTTATTTGTAATTTCATCTTTGTTAATTTAGTTATACACTTCTTTCACTTTACAGTAGTTATTTTTCCTTACTCTGGATGCCTGGAGGAGATTCCTTGTTAGATATAAGGCCATCTGATGCCTCCCTAATATTTTATGTTACCTATTTTAATATGTACTATTAATGTATGAGTGTTAATAAATAAATAAATATTAGTATAGATAAAATATATGATATTGTTTTATATTTAAATATTATTTGTTTCTAGGGAGACTTTTCTATGCCCTCTGCTGATATATTGGCATCACAAAGAGCAAGAGAGCACGAGTGTATGCAAGAGCTTCAAGATCTGAGGTCACAATTTGAGAAACTGGATTATAAAGGCCAGTTAGTGAGGCAAGCAAGTAACTCAAGTGGCTCAGAAAGTGAAGCTTCACTAACTACAGCTGTTGAGGCACTGCATGTAGAGCAATTTGTGCAGCATGCTGTGCTTGCTCCAACTCCTAATACCTTGTTGCACGCCTTGCTTGGTGCCCCTATACTGCAGGCTTATGACCTTTCCCTGCTAAACTACTCTGCACTTCTACTAGAAACTAATGATAAGGAGCTCATTTTAAATACTTTAAATCAAGTAAGTTTACACTGTAAGTGACCCTTATTGGCACATAAACTGCTTCTATTAATAATTGAATTGATTTCAGATAATATTAGATATCAGGCAGTGCATAAAAAGAGGAAATCAAAGTGAGAACTTGTTACAAGATGAAGATACTATAGTACTATGTTGTTGGTTGTGTGCATCTAGTATGTGGAATGGCCCTCAGCCTTGTGGCTCAACTGCAGTACTGTCAGAGCTACTAAAGGTGGCAGCACCAGCTGTAGTAGAAACAGTAGCAGGTGCACTGACCACAGCACTGCAAGAACCTCATGCTCTAGTGGAAGCCAGTGATGCAGTATGGGGACATACTTCAGGACAGAGATGCCTTGCTGGACGCCTTCTGGCTGCTGCCATGGATGCACTAGTGCCTAGTAGTGACTCACTTGCCTCGCCTTCCCTTACCTTAAGTGTGGTATGTGGACGACTACGGTGTGTGTGGCGTGAGCTAAATGCAGAGGAACGCCATGCCGCGCTTATGGTGGCTGGGCGGGTAGCAGTTCATGCTGAGCCTGAAATTAGTGATCTAAAGGCGCTGCGTGATTTGTTAGCCCTCTCAATGCAGGCACCTGCCCTACCTTTTCGACATTCCCCAGACTATCTTCGGGTAAAACCGTTTATAAATATGTATTATATGTGTATTGTGTACTAGTGGTCACAGTCAGCCATGTCATGGCTATAAAACATTATGATTATAAAACAGTTGCTATATTTATAGGAAAAACATTTTTCTTTATTTTTGTCTGATCTGTAGTATTTTAGTTATAAATTATACAAATGGATTATATTTGTGTATATTTACAGATCCAAGTTGCAGCTTCAAGATTACAGATACTATTCGAAGTGAACAACTTACCAACGATAGACTCTTAAGCCATTGCAATATTAAGCATCAATAATTGTCGATCTTTAATAAAATGAAGAAACATTTGAAATACTTTATTAATAAAATTTAAACAAATTAAAGTTTTATTCTTATAATATAATATCACATTGTTGAGTCAACATACAGTTGCAGCGAGTGAGTAGTGACTGTAGATAGAAGAATGATCAAGCAAGGGGCAAATCAGTGCCTAGGCGTAGCACTGGCAGGGTAAGTGCAGCACCTGCAAGGCGACGCTCATATGAGCCCCGGCATTCCCATCCAGCAGAATGCAGCAAGCGTCGAGCAGAAGGCTGTAAGTGTGACAAAGCACACTCAAGTGATTGCAAACCACGAACTGCCGCCGCTCGTCGCGCTGCTCCTGTCAAAGCTGTACCGACACCGTGCCTCCGCCATTCACTTATCACTGACAGTCCTTCTACCCACCCGCTAGCTGATGCTCCTTGGAAGTCTAAAACACTCACAGTGCCCACTATCTGCAACATAATAATTAATCATTGACACAAAAATAGTGGAAAATTGTAATAAGTTTATATTCTCAATTTTTTTTATCTATTAATCAGCAGAATTTTATTCTTATTGTAAAAATCTAAACTTAAAAATGTGTAAATTGAAGTTAAGTTAATAATTAAATATTCTATACTATATAATGAATAATTTATTTTTTCAAAGAATATTGAGATGAGAGAGAAATAAATATACCCACTAAATACCTTATACCACAGTGTACATTAATTTTTTTCCAGTAATCATTAACATTGAATTGGATTCTAATAGAAATAATAATAATAAGACCATTAATAAATACATGTCCATGGTAAGCAGAGAGAGAGGATTTATCTTCATTTTCAGTTAAATGTATCCTGGTTGACAGAGAGTTGTTTCCTGGAGGCAGCAAAGAGCCATGGGCCTCTGCTACAAGGCCATACAATTCTCTAGATACATTCTGAAAATAAAATATATTTTTAGTTTATTGTTAATTTAATTATATTTACAAGTGTTTAGGGCCTATTGTAGAGTTTATGTACCTGTGCATGTTTGAGCGCCAGAGCGTAGCGGTAGAGCAGGACCGCAGCCGCAACGACTGCGGCTGCAGCTGGCAGCAGAGCGGCGCAGGCAGCAGCAGACACGCCGCAGAATATAAATAGCACCGCCGCTCCCAGCACGCATAACTCCAATGTTAACTAAACACGAAGTTTTACTAACTTGGCGACTAGACTATATATTAACACCGCGTACAAGACTCACCTCTTGAAAGAAGAAAAACAAAAATGCATCCCAAAAGTTAATAGAATAGCTGTTTTGTACGAGTTCACGTCTTTTTTGCAGATCTTTAAGCCGCGCGAACCGCACAATAATCTCACACGGCATTCTCAGCAAAACTAATTAAATACATAAATTTAATTATACATTAAAAATATATCGCTATTAATTATTGAAGATTAGTTTCATGATTTTTTAAAAGTTAATAAACTGTTTATTTACAAGTGCTAGTTTTATCATATATTTGGCCTGTTTTTTTTTTTTTTTTGATTTTATGACCTGGTAACATAGACTTAGGAAAGCGGAGAGCCACAGATCAGTATGATATTTTTATTAATATACAGATAAATAAATATACTAATAAAAGGCAATGACAGTGTGCTTCAACTTATAACGCGAGCAATAAACAAAATAAAGAACTGGAACTACCTACAAAAATAAAGTGTATACCAATCAAAGGTGACAAAAAAAATCTGCCTAGGTGTATTTAAAGCATGGGGCTATACCATTAATTTACATCCCGTCTTTTACAATTCAATCCAATAATACCTTTCTGTTAATATTTCTAGATAGTTCTGTAGTCTATGATGTAGATGGCGATTTATAAAGTGTCTTAAAATAATAAATTTAAGTAGCTTCACAGCTACATATTGTAGTGTAGTACAACCCGTGCGCGATAAGTTGGGACCTGAGCGCGGTGACGTCACATTGGCGTGTTTGTACCGTCCGCAAAAAAGCGAACACATCGAGCAGCCGCCGCGGCTTCGTCCTTGTTTTTTTTTAACCTAATTTACTATGTTACTCAGGCATGATGCTGCTTTTTATCTTATCTTTATTTTTTTTACACTATTTGAATACAATAGAATACTATTTAATTATGTATCACAGAAAGTGAAGGAAGGTAACGTTTTGTAATTAATAAAAATACAATGTTTAAGTTTATACATTTATTTTAATTTAAAAAAAACCTGGTGTCGGTGAAGTATTTTGTAAGCGCTTGGCTTCGTTTTTTATTCTCATCAACGTGGTTTTCGATATTCGCGTTGCCATGCATGTTCTTTTTACTACCTGGTCAATAGGTACACAAAACTGTTAGTTCCGTTTTTCGTTTTCAAAAAACTCTAACACTTTTAGCACGAGGTTTCTTTCTCCGCTATGTAAAGGTTTACCCTTCATAATGATAACAAAAAAAACTTAACAAGAACTATAACAACAAAAACTACAACAACAAAACAATAACACAAACGAAACTAAAAGGATTCCAGAGCGCGTCGTTACGTGACGTAAGCCAGAACGAGACTAAAAATTCTAGTAAAAAACTTGCGATGCGAACGGTACAATACGGGCGCCATCGGGGAAGTGCAGGGGAAGCGGGCGGGAAGCCGCATTCCTAGGAGGTCCCAACTTATCGCGCACGTGTAGTATGTACTTTACGAAATAATTCTAAGCTTTTATTTAGTGTTTATTCTCAGCAATAGCCTCTAACCTGGTGGTTAGAGGCATAATAATATTTAATTATTATAATTCATGGCAAATCTGTAAAAATAGAAACCCTAAACATTTTCTTTATGTTATAGTGCGCATCCTATCTGTTCAGGTAATAATCCTGGATTTTAAAAGCATTTTAAGAAGCGTAATTTTTAATTTTTCGTTTTTAAATAAGTCTACCTGACATACTTTTTTTATTGCCAGACATTTTTCACATTGCTAACTATGTGCCAGACGCGATTTTAAGTTTTTTTTTAATAAAAATTTCAAAGTATTTTAGAATGTCTGTAATTTTAATATTAAGTTATTTAAATATAAGATAAACTAAAAATGAATTTATTTAAAAACGAAAAATTAAAAATTACGCTTCTTAAAATGCTTTTAAAATCCAGGATTATTACCTGGACAGATAGGATGCGCACTAATGAACGCAACTGCTACCGCCGTCCGCCAGCCAGATTGCCCAGACTCTAACCGAAAGTGCAAGAAGGAAGACATATTCACAAAATCAGCTGACCTGAAATTCTTTCTCGAAAACGTTGCTACGTCCCGTACTATAATGTATAATGTAAATTGCGTGCCGCGTGGTCAACGATGAGCTGGATATATCAAGAGTATATCTCTCTTGCCACAATATTTAGAATTTTATCTGGATTTTTTATATTTAAAAAATTTACTTGAGTAGAAAATCATCTTAAAAATAAACGCCGTTTTCAATAGGTATTATCAATACCGAATACTTGCTGGTGTGTGTATAACTGAAGCGACCTTGCCAAATAATAATATGCTTACTATTGATTGTAGACTGATTGTAAACAAAAGTTTAATGGAGTTTTATTTAAATGTTTCGTACTAGAGTGAACTAAGTTAAGAAGTTTGTGTCTCATATATTTTAATTAATATATAATACTATCACCTGCCGAGCCGTGTTGCTTTCAGCGTGCGTTTCTCATCCCTCAGGTCGCAGGCCCCGGCTGTGCATCAATGGACTTTCTTTTTATGTGCTAATTTAACAATCGCTCGATCGGTAAAGGAAAACATCATGAGGAAACTTGCTTGCCTTATTTTTATTATTACCGGTAACTAGCAAAGAAAGACAGTCCATCTATCAATAAGATGCCAGATTTTTTGTAGTTGTTCTGATTTGGGTATGTCACAGGCAATTTTGATGAATTTTATAAACGAAAATATTTATTTATTTTACTAACTTGTGTGTTGTTGATTATCCAATAGCGCAAATTCCAATATTTAATTTATACCACAAGCATATACGCTACCTTGCTATGTACCTACATATATAAGTGTGTGCATGTGTGTGTATCCGACTGAAAATTTAATAACAGAAAGCAGCTAGAGGGTTATACTACACATAATGTAATGAATAAGCCTTTATTCTTTGACCGTTATTTAGAAACAAAATAACAAATAATTGATAAAAACAATTGTTTACTTTTAAGCAATCAGTTTTATGGTCACGTTGTCTTCTGAAATGGACCTCACTTGCTTTGATAGCATTTATTGATTGATATAGTATTAAAGTTATAACTTTATTAGCTAATAATACATAATAAGGAAGCGCAAAAATAATGTAGACGTGCATTTTATTTGAGCCAGTAGTAGAGAATAAGACAAACATATTCTCAAATTACACGATTATGTTCTAGCCTTTGCTATCTTCTATATGAATAGAATGAAAAAGAACCAAACTGAAATATCACTATGTCACTCAGGAATAATGTTATTAGTATTTAAAAACCAAACCTCATAGGAAATTTTAAGTAAAAGCCATTGTTTCAAGGCATTTTTAGAAAATATATTCTCGAAACATCTCGCTTACTCTACCTTTTTATATCAATAGTGGTTCTTCTTTTAGTGCCTATCCATTACTGGAGGTTGGTCGTCAGTCTCTTGAAGAACGTCATGTCCTGTGCCAGATGCAGCAACTCTTCCGCAGTCGCAACCGTCCATTCCTTAACGTTGTGAAGCCATTATTTCTTTTTCTACCAACACTCCGTTTACGCTGGATTTTACCCATCATAATTATTCGAAGGAGTACCGGTCTTGGCGTAATGCGAGGCCCAGATACACAACTTTCCGTTGTTTAATGTTCCGCAGAAGTCCCTTCGATATTCCAACTCGATTAAGAACCTACTCGTTACAGACCTTCTGGATCCAGCTTATACGAGGCATGCAACGATAGCACCACATCTCAAATGCTTTTAAGCGCCGGTTCACAGCCGTAAAGAACAATTGGCCAAACAAAGGAAAATTTGGACTGGGAGTGTAATTGTCAAGTGACGACAGCATAAAACTTAAACAAAATGAAGATTTGTTTTAAGATCCTCGGCTAATTTCAATTCAAGACCTAATTTCTTGATCAGGATTCCACTCGATTGTAACCCAAGTTCCCAAATACCTGCCCTGCGATTCTTTTTGGTAACTTTGTATCAGGTTCTTGATTACTCTTACATCGGTTTTTACGCATCGAGACCGGTCGCTCTCAATCAAACGTTGAGGAAGTCATTTTATCATTTGGCAATCTTAATAAACAATAAAGCTACAAGCTCACACCTATTTCAGAATGCCAAATGAAAAAAATGAGCCTGCTCGTGTCACGACTGATTAGAGGAAAGCGAACGCGTCAGCCAGAGTTTTAAACCAGGGTGACTTCGAAAAATTTCTGATAGTTCGAAAATTCTTTGCAGGTTTCAATTCAACCTCGTAATATTTTTGTTCCAACGTCTATTGCATAGCTAAAGATAAATTACGGTTGCTTTTTGGTCTTTGTACAGGTTCTTGATTACTCTTAGATCATTTTAATCGAGACCGGTAAGTCAATTAAACGATATATCCCCCCCCCCCCCGGGGAGGGAAGTAATGCTTAACTGTTGCTTAAAAGCTTTCTCGAAAAGCTTTATCATAGTCGTGCCAATAAATGCAATAGGAAGTCATCAGTTATATGTACAAGGACATTGAACAACAACACTTAAGAGCCTCTCTGTGTACATCAGAGAAAATTTACGAAAGTTTTCCGTAAAACGTCAGCCAGAGTCTTAAAACAGACTATGTAACAACTCGTAAAAGTTCTGATAGTTCGTAATTTCTCTTGGCAGCTTCTTTTAGTTCAAAACCTAACGTAATATTTTTTAATTTTGTCCCAGAAGAACTAATATGCTGGCAGTTACAAAACTATCTTTTAGTTTCGTATTCGTTAATAATATAGTTAAGAGTTGCACATAAGAATTAGCATCATATTAAAGGCACGAGTTTTGTAACTTGGCGATCGTCAACTGTTTCACTGAATTTTGGCTGGGTACTGCGAACTGTGGCGTCCGTTGATTGCGCACAGCGTAGACCAGTAGCAGTAATTGTGTAGCGGCGATGAGATGAGGCCGCGTCACCTTACCTCTAAAACTTAAGAAGAACATCGCGACTCGCGCTTCAAACAATTCACTAATAGTGTGGCCCTATGTTATCTAGATTATAGAAGTGTGTGCGAGTGTGTTGTGATACAAGATTCAAATCGTGCTACGCGCGTATATCTACGTTGCTACCGACGTGCTACGAAGTGAAGATTGTATGTCTGTTATTACAGTGAAAACTACTAACACTCCATAAAT